TTGGAAAAAAAGGAGGGTGGGGGGGTGGAGGGGGGCTCTGGGAAAATGACACCATCCATGTTTGCTTGAAGCTATCTAATTTGGCATGACAAATTCCCCCAAAGAGTTAATCTAAGTAAAATGTCAAATCACTCTGAATTTCTTAAAAAGTCAGTCTTTACCTGTTCTTTCCCCTTCAAACTACAATCACATTAGAATACACAAACAGAATAAGTGTCTGTTCTAAAAATAGTTTCTCCTACAAGGGATAGTTTATAGGTTCAAATCACATCACATGGGAATAGCAACTTTTTAAATAGTTTTCTACACAAGCTTATCCTTGGGTATTTCATACACACGTTCAACCAAAGCTCGTAGCAAACTGCCAGGTATTCTTTGGTGTTTTGCAATTAGATCCTCTACTGCACTAGCCACCTGTAAGTAAAAGCATACGATTGAACACAGATTTCACAGTTTACAAAATGAACTATATTCATAGTTCCTTACATTAATTACTAATTAACACCCCAAAAGGCCTAATGATCCCCAGGGAGAAGGTCGGGAGGTTCCGGTTTAAAAAAAACAAAAAAAAAACAACTAGGAAATTAAGCAAGTTGGTAGATCATCATACATACCTTCAGCGACAACTCCTCTGGAGTAAGAGCAGAATCATAAGGAATCGGCTTCCCGACGTGAGTTTTAAGTTTCACTGGGAAGCCACCATAGATGGGAACTATTGGAAGTCTTGTCCATTGGTATATTTTCAACCAAACCATTCGTCCAAAACCGACTGTTCTAAATGACTCACGTATATTTTGAGTAAACATAGGAATGATCATCTACAAAAAAAAAATGAAATTAAAGAAATACTGAGCAGTAAATTTGATCAGAATCTTAAATTTTTACTTACAGCTTTCGCATCTAAAGCAGCTTTGGCAAAACCTAGTCTTCCTTTCCACTGAAGGTGATAGTAAGAATTACCAAATTGAGCCTCATACACTCCACCTGGTGAAATGGCTAATAAATTGTTATCACGCAATACAGCAGAGCAAGTCTGAACAGTACCAGGAATTACTTTTAGAGCTTCAGCAATAATAGAGAAACCTATAAAAACACAACATTGATTTAGATTATAAAAAGAAGTTGTATCACATCACATAATTGTAATTTCAACAATTTTTTAGGGGGTGTGACACAAACCTGGAATTTTGAATAAAAACCTATCAGCTACTGTATGAACCATACGGTTTTTGAACAACATGACCTTAGATAAGAAATAATATACATCAACTGGAACTGCCCCATGGTAATAAATGACAAGTGCAGGTGAATCATCTGGAATATTTTCCAGACCACAAACTTCATATCCTAAGCAAAATAAGTAAAAATTGTTATTTTTTTTAAAGGAAATCTATGGATATCTTATTTAAAGTATCAACATTAAACTGACCATGCCAAATCCATCCATGGGCATCCCAAACAATAGCTACTAATTTTCGAGCTCCGTCCCAGAAGCCTACAACATCTCGTAATCGATGTCTGATATTGAAGAGGAAGAGAGAGAATTAGTTAGGAAATAAGGTTACAGAAATTATTCGAAACGGACATAATTGCAATGAGGTAATAATAATATGGTACCTGTGCCACCGATAGATGTACAGCATGATGCTTGTCAAATAAAGAAGTAGTACAATTACAACGGGTAATAGAAACGTTATAATCACAGGTGCCAAAGCCCATGTTAACCAGAGAGTAAAATCTATGTCGATATACTGAACTGCAAAAAGAGGATAAAGCACACAATTAATGCTAAATTTAAACATTGAAACATTGTGAAAACCCATTTTAAGTAAATAATTGTAATTTGGTCATGGTGTAGTAGAAAACTAAATATATGTGTGCAAATAAGGAATGAAGTACCTATTCCTGATGACACTAGTGTTTTATAGTCGCCTCTATTCCAAATTTATTATGCAGTCTCTACAATGTTACTTTAGAAGAAAAATGGGAGATTAGTAAACTGGCACTGCATTGCAAAGAATTTTGAATCATGCATCATTACACAGCTACAACATTCCTTTGTGAGTATTAAAATTAAGTATGGTGAGTATGGCAAAAGAATACTCTGTAACTTGCCACTTCTCTACAGGTAGAAGTATTTTTTTCATCAGTACAACTGTATTTTATCTAAACAAAATAACATATAGTACGTGTTCTATTATATTCAAGTAATTCTAAACTAAATTAGTTTTGATGGGTTGCAGTCTAAATGCCATGCTATATAAGATAATAAAAATCCAACTAAAACATCGAAACAGTTTCATAATTGAACACTACCTACAAGTGACTTAACATACCCATCTTTCATTGGTCATTGAGGTGTGCATGTTGATGTAATCTTACCAATGACATTTTCAATGGAGACAACCATGTCAGAAATAAATGATATCATTTAATTCCAGATGATGCTCGGCAGTGGAAATGACAATTCAAATACAGGTCACCTCCAAACACTTGTTTCATAAGAAGGTCATCAAAGTAATTCTTTTCATTAAGTAAATGAAAGGCAAATTGCCCTTATCACGAAGTAAAAGACGGGAAAACTCTTAAGATTTTTTATTTTGAATGAAAAAATGTGCTGTCATTCAATTTGAATCATCAACAACACTGTGTCATGATGATGACAGGTTAAAAAGTGACAGGAGTGAATCCGACCTGTTTTAGAAAATGTTGAACAGACAATAGGGTGCTGAATTTAGGAAAAGTTTCATAAAAGCACTGAAGTGCACATGAAAATCACGAATGCACTTCTCCTTTTCAAAAATCACAAGATATCTGCACTTAAGAGAACTAAAGGGAATGTTCGCTGACAGTAAACCGAGAACCAATAGAAACGTGAGAACAATCTTATGCCATTTGCCAACAGCCAACCACGAAACAGCTTATTTTATCCACAAAAAAGGGGCACATATTGGGAAGCTTAAATGATTCAAAATTTTTGCTGGCTGTGGAGAAAAAAAGGATGAACCCATCGGAATGGAAGACGAGACAAAATATAGAAAATTTGAGATAATTTCTAACACCTGTGCATCAATGACATCAAAATTTACGAAATTACCGCCAATCTGGCAGTGGTCAGCGGATATCCGCCGTTGACCCACAGCCTTAGGACAGGAACATAGTGACAAATGTGATAACAGAGTGACAAATTAAATCAAGCATTGTCGTAAGTCAATATTGAATGCTACAGTAAGGAATATATCGTTCGTTGTAGCCGTCTGTCCCTCAAAGCCAAGCAACATTTAAGGAAATGTAGACAAAAGAAGAAGGCAAGAAAGAAGTGGGGGAGGGCATCGGTACGGGGGAGGGGTAGAAGGGGGAGGGGGATTTTAGAGAGAGCAAAGACAAGGACCGCAGACATTGCGGTAGCATGTTTCGAATATATTTTTTGGGGAAGTTTTCGGATTTAATAATCTTGTAGACTTTAATTGAATATAGACGGTTCATGAGTAGCCTTGGCATTTTCTATTTCAAGCTTAGATAATCGCGAAGTTTGTGTTAAACTGTTAAAAGGTCTTCATTCATTGAAACGTAAAGTGACTTACCATGGCAGCCATTTTGGGATAGCCTGGGTGTTGTCAAAATATTAAGTTCTTGGTGTTTCCTTTGATTTTGCAATTACACGAAGTCTCTCGCAGTAAAGTTAGTTAATTTAGTGCTAGTGTTTTATTTAAAAGCAGCCCAAAATGGCTACGGATCGTGAGCGTGAGATGGCTGCAGAAGACAGTATAAAAGTGGTCTGCAGGTTCAGGCCATTAAACGACTCAGAAGAAAAAGCTGGCTCTAAATTTGTCGTCAAGTTTCCCTCTGGACCAGATGAAAACTGCATATCAATTGGAGTAAGTGGTTTCTTCAGCTTACGCTTTTGGTACAATCACCCACTTTCTCGCTTGCTCACTGCCAACTGCCACTGACCCAACCTCTAAAACATGTAACCTTAATGTATTTTATCAACTTATAAGCATATGGAATGTTTTGCCCATCTCAGAAATAGTCACTTTTCAGTTAGTTCTTTAGTACATTCACATTTTGGTTATTTATTTTTACAACTGTCTGTTCCCCAAAATCTGAATTGTCATATGTGGCACACTTCCAGTGTTCTGTCAAGGGTGTTTTTTTTACACATATTTTTGTTGAAGGGTTTTTCACTAAATTTTCATTTCCCTGAAAAAAATTGATTAATGTCAAATTAAAGGCATCCATTGAAAAGCTGTACTATCACATAATCTAATCTACATAATTAAAGTGCATGTTTTCCTCTGTGTCTATTAACATCCCGTTTTTTAACATCATTCACTGGCTCAAAATTATTGTTTTATTTTTTTTGTACATATGTGGTTTGTTGACATCCTGGTCAATATATGTTGAACATACTCAATTTTTAGTGGCAACTCCTGCCATGTTTGACAAGCTATCACTTTCTGTCAGAGTTTTTTTTTTAGCAGCTTATTGGCGTGTGCTGTGGTATACTTTTTATTCTGTTACTGGTTCACTCTAAAAATTCTGATTTTATCCTTTACTAACAATTACAAACATTTTACAGGGAAAAGTGTACCTTTTTGACAAGGTCTTCAAACCTAATGCCACTCAAGAGAAGGTGTATACAGAAGCAGCAAAATCAATCGTCACAGGTGAATAGTTGTGTTTATACATTAACAAGAGACTTATCATGAACTCTCCAAAATGCAGATCATCTTATATGGAATTTTATGTTTCAGATGTACTTTGTGGCTACAATGGCACTATATTTGCTTATGGTCAAACATCTTCTGGTAAAACCCATACGATGGAGGGAGTGATAGGGGATGCTGGAAAGCAGGGCATAATTCCTCGAATTGTGAATGACATTTTTAACCATATCTATGGTATGGAAGAAAATCTCGAGTTCCATATTAAGGTTTCATATTTTGAAATCTACATGGATAAAATCAGAGATTTATTAGATGGTGAGCAGTTTGAAAATTGCATCACAGTGCTCGTTACATCTTCTCTATTATTCTTTACTCATGTTTAAAGCTCATATTGATTGACTGAATTCTGTTGTCCAGTATCCAAGGTTAATCTTAGTGTCCATGAAGACAAGAACAGAGTTCCATTTGTCAAAGGTGCAACTGAGCGATTTGTATCCAGCCCTGAGGAAGTTTTTGAAGTTATAGAGGAAGGAAAATCTAACCGGCACATTGCTGTTACCAGTAAGTTCGCGATGATTAATAAGCTGTTTCTTTTCTTGTGTGTGCTGAGGGTTCAACTCACAGTATTGACCCCTGCTTTCAACTAATTTTTTTGACTCATTTTAACAGACATGAATGAACACAGTTCTAGAAGTCACAGTGTATTCCTTATCAATGTCAAACAAGAAAATTTGGAAAATGAGAAGAAACTTTCAGGAAAATTATATTTAGTTGATTTGGCTGGTAGTGAAAAGGTACTGCAACAGTTTACTGGATGCATGCTAAATGTCCCTCTACTTTTTTTTTCAAATTATTTCTCTCCTCTTTACTTAGGTCAGCAAAACTGGAGCAGAAGGAACAGTTCTTGATGAAGCCAAGAACATCAATAAATCTCTCTCTGCCTTGGGAAACGTAATTTCAGCTTTAGCTGATGGCAACAAAACTCATATCCCATATCGAGATTCTAAGCTTACACGTATCCTGCAAGAATCATTGGGAGGAAATGCACGAACCACTATAATCATCTGTTGTTCTCCCGCGTCCTTCAATGAATCTGAAACCAAATCAACACTGGATTTCGGAAAGCGGTTTGTTACAGTCTCTTCTATTTTCTCATGTGCAATCATTTTAAATAATATTTGATTGAAATTGCATTTTTTATTGTAGTGCAAAGACCATTAAGAATGTGGTGACAGTTAATGAAGAACTTACAGCTGAAGAATGGAAGAGGCGCTATGAGAAGGAGAAGGAGCGAACAGGACGACTGAAGGGAAAAGTGGAGAAACTTGAGTTGGAGCTTAGCAGGTACAGTATTAATCTTCAATGCTGTAACTGTATTGCTAGAAACTCTTTGTTAGTCTCTGTAAATATTTCCTAAATTACTATACAGGTGGCGATCTGGGGAAACTGTTAACCCTGATGAGCAGGTGAATCTTCAAGAGCCTATAGAAGCAGTGACTCCCATTGCAGCTGCCCCTGAGCCTAAGAAAGGTAAAACAAGTTTGTCACTTACAATGGTTTGCTTATCAATAGTGTTTCTCACAGTCCTTTTTTGAAGAAACCAATGTACTACAAACTCATCCCTTTCAGATGTCCTTCTTGGTCCTATACCTGCCACCCCTGGGGGTGGTATAATGATTGGTTCTCTGTCCAATGAGGAACGTCAAAAGTTGGAAGAAGAAAGAGAAAGGCTTTACCAGCAGCTTGATGAGAAAGATGAGGAAATAAACCAGCATTCTCAATTTGTCGAGAAGCTGAAGGAGCAGATGATGGAACAAGAGGAACTGATTGCTAGCACACGCAAAGATTATGAACTGCTGCAGCATGAAATGAATCGTATCCAACAAGAAAATGAATCTGCCAAAGAGGAAGTCAAAGAAGTCCTCCAAGCTTTGGAAGAGCTTGCTGTTAACTATGATCAAAAGAGCCAAGAAGTGGAAACCAAAAATAAAGAGTACGAAAGCCTAACTGAAGAACTAATGCAAAAGCAATCTTCCCTAAACACAACATCCTCTGAGCTCCAGCAACTTAAAGACATGTCCACACATCAACGCCGCCGCATTACTGAAATGCTAACAAACTTGTTGAAAGACTTAACAGAAATTGGAGTTTCTATTGGAAGTGAAGGAGATCTTAAAGTATGCTTCAAGTATATTTGTGTTTTCTTGTGTCCTTTTGTAAATTATCTTATCTGTATTAACTTCTGGACATTTTATTTCAGATGAATCCTGATAGCAATAATAAACTGGAAGAGGAGTTTACTGTTGCACGCTTATACATCTCAAAGATGAAATCTGAAGTGAAAAATCTGGTCACACGCTGTCAAAATCTGGAGTCCACTCAGACAGACAGCAATAAAAAGGTATTGAATGAATTCCCTCATCAATATTTGAATCTATCATTTTTCTAGGAACATCAATTGTTAAAGAATTATCTTTTTTCTGTTTTAAGGTGACTGAGTATGAGAAGGATTTGGCAGAGTGTAGACTTCATATATCACAACTAGATGCCAGAATTAAGACTCTTCAAGAAACCATGCGAGAAGCTGAGAATAAGAAACGCACTTTGGAAGAAGAAGTTGACATGCTGAGGGAAGATAATGCCAAGATGAAGGCTGCTGGTATGTATTTACAACCCTGGTATGAAGTGCAAAAAATAGATTTTCAAGGATCTTGAGCGGCTTTTCCGTCCTTAAACTCAGCAATGATAATCCTGAATTAGGTATCTTGCACCAGAGCATAATTTCTTAGCCAGCACTTGACTTTTTAATCCTGTTCTGTGAATAGCCACTTGTGAACTTTTCTCTCATTAAGTTGACATGCATAGCAAAAATATTTCTTTACCCACTCTAACTCTAATTGAATGTATGAAAATGCCTATGTGTAATCTGTGATCTTCTTTAACAGAACAAGTTCAAGCTGTATCTAATAAGGACAAAGCAGAAGAACAAATTGAAGTAAACAAAGCTCGCTTAGCATTAGAAGAGCAAATGGATCACCTTCGGGATGCTCATCAAAAGCAGGTTGGATCTCTTCGTGATGAAGTAATGGAGAAACAAACACTTATCACAGAGCTGAAGGAGTAAGTATACCATTACAGATTACATGCATTTTTGTATTGCACCGAGACCAGTATCTCTTATGAGTCATTTGTTTCACAGTGAAAATCAAAGATATTCACTTGCTCATGAGCAACTTAAGCAAGAATATGAGAAGCTCAAGAAAGAGGAAGAGGAAAAGAGCCAGAAATTGCAAGAACTAATGTAAGTAATTAAAATGTTTAATTGTATCAGTAACAAATAAGGATGGTGTATTCATGATCATCTTCATTTCAGACTTTCTAATGAACGTAGAGAAGAGGCTCGCAAAGATCTCAAAGGACTCGAGGACACAGTAGCGAAAGAACTCCAGACATTGCACAATTTACGCAAGCTATTTGTGCAAGATTTGCAAGCCCGCATTAAAAAGGTAAAACACAATATTTCGTGGTGCCTAAAAATTTACATATTAGTTGTCATTTGGGTTCCTTTAAGAATTGCTCTCAAATCACTATAAAGCACCCATACTTATTGCCTGATTCTTGTAATTCTCTAGTCTGCAAATACGGATGAAAATGAAGATGATGGAGGATCTCTAGCTCAGAAGCAGAAAATCAGCTTCCTTGAAAACAATCTTGACCAACTCACTAAAGTCCACAAGCAGCTTGTTCGTGACAATGCTGACTTGCGTTGTGAGTTGCCAAAACTTGAGAAGCGTCTTCGTACCACAATGGAGCGAGTGAAGGTAAATAGGCTTTTCTTCTAGTAATCCTTATTGTTTTCTTAATTAAAGTTGTCTGTGAACAACCCTACTGCATTTTATAAATTTTTAGGCCTTGGAGACTGCCTTAAAAGAAGCGAAGGAAGGTGCTATGCGGGACCGAAAACGTTATCAGAGTGAAGTGGACCGAATTAAGGAAGCTGTGCGCCAGAAGAATCTTGCAAGGAGAGGAAATAGTGCTCAGATAGGTTTGTTCACAAGTCATTCAGTTACATGTGACTTCAGTATTTATAATATTTCTCGTCATACCTGCCAATGTTTACAATCTATTTCTTTTTCTGTAGCCAAACCTATTCGTGCGGGTCAGCATCATATGACTGGAGCTCCTGGTAGCATCAGACCACAAGCACACATGGTGACTAGCCGAATTCTGCCAGATGACGGTGCTCCTAAGAAGAAAACTGTGTTGTCTGGAGGTGCAACTCGAGGTACTAAATAAATATGCTCTAATTTAGCAAGGGCTTTGAACCACTCGGGTTTCAGAAAGCATCCTTGTTGAATTTTAAATTAGCTTCTTGTTTGATATATCCTCAGTAATTCATATATTGTTATTATTTTTACAGAGATGGAAAGCTGAGGATAAGCTTAGGATTCATCCTATTATTCCACTTCAAATATTGCAACATTATGCTGTATTCATCACACATGCATTCACATGTCATTATCAATGTGAATCCAAGTGTGCAGTTCTTGCTGAAAGCAGCATTTTTGTGCACTGTGATCTCTCGCCGCCAAAATGCTGCTTGGCGTGGCCAATTAATAACAAGTGTTAATTATTTGGTTTCTTTGACATAAACTGGCATGTCAACTTTAATTTTCTTCTAAATTAATTCAAGCCCAAATGTTGTGTCATTTCAGGCTTGAGGGTCTATGTTGCTCTTTGCTGACTTTGTTGCTTTGCTTTGTCAGTTGCAATTATTTTGTAGAGTGCCTACTTCTGAAATGCTGTTATTTTAAATGCTTTGAACTTCTTGTCGAGCACTGTAGGTTGAGGGAGAAGGGGTTTATTTGTCACGAATGTTGAAGGATCAAACATTGTGTAGTGACTAACGATCCGACATTTTGATACCAGAATGGCACTCTGTGAAAGTTTACCTTTTGTCTAATCCAAAGAAAAGTAACCATTATGTCTTGTGATAACATTTTTGTGAAGTAATTATGAGTGCTCCTCCCATGCTGCTCACTGTCAGCAATTCAAGGCTATCCCTAGACAATGAATTTAGCTCTGATCCCTTTTGTAATACATTTTGTATCTTATTTCAAAAACAACAAAAAAAGCTCTGCTTTTGGCATGATGATGTGCTAAGCAATGTAGGGGATGGTTTTTTTACATGCTTTTAATTTAAGGTTTCTCTTTGGTTTCAAAGAAAGCACACTTCCCCAGTAAATATGATATTTTTAATTATATTGTGCACAATGAAAGCTGTATAATATGTGTATAAAGCAGTACTCCTTTTTTATAGTCGTACACTGGCTGTTCGCCAGCAGTGTTCTGACTTTTGATCAATTATCTGCAAAAGCCAAAAATTATCAGGTTTGTTTTTAATGAATGTTTCATGTTTCTATGAATAAAGTAATTTATTGCAAATTTTTCAAAACAATAATTTAAAACTGCTTTCTTTCTTTTAAAGGATTCCATATTACTAAACTGCATGGCATTTAATTGTTTAATTATCTAACAATCCAGTTTTGATCAAGTGGACCATATACTTGCATTGATACTTCCTTGTTGAAGTAACATGAATACACTTTTGTAAATACCTGATGATTCCATGGTTTTACCTCCTTTTGAAGTGCTGAACATTCTGTTAATTAACTTTTCTTCCAAGATTTAGACCTGAAGTGTAATAGGCTAAAAAGATCAAAATTGCAAACCTACCCCCCATCCTCCCCCTTTAAAAAAGTCACGAAAGACAAAAGATACAGTACTTACTTGTGAATATCAGGTGCTGTGCTAGCTCTGCTAGTTATTTCCCTATGAACATTGTCATCTTTCCTGATTGTGACATTGTGATCTAGCTTCCCATGGTTCTATATTTGCTATTACTTTGGACTAAAAGAATAGGTTCATTTGATTGTGTAATCTATTCTTCAAACCCTTAGTTCGATGAGAGTTTGTTTGGAACATGATGTGCTCTGCTGATTTCTTGGCTTAATCTTAAATGCTTAATTGATTAAGCAGGCTCAGATTTTGTTATAGATCTATAGAAGTGTTCCCAGTTATGTGTCAGTCTTTAGTTCAAAGATGGACCAACCAGTGAGGCCTGGTGCTTTAAATGGCTTTAAATTTTACCCATGTTTTGAGTTTGTGCTTCTGTTTGTTTTCTTGGGATCTCAAAATAGTTTTTTAGACGATTCCAAGTGTTCTGATTAGCTTTCTACCTTTCTTCACCTTTTACCTCTTTCTTAATGTCTGACTCATTATTTATATTATGCTCCCCTTTAATTTGGATGACTTTTACCTTATATTAAATGTTTTCAATTGATTATATGAGCAGTTCATTTTAAAACTATAACTTTCTTGATCCATATTGTAAAGGAAAAGAGCACCTAAAGCTTCTTTGTTTTATGGGCGCCATTGCAATTTGGGAGGATTTGTGAGATGCAGATTGTGTTCTTGTTCACCATAATAGTTGAATTTTCTGCCTCCAAGGTACTGTTCAGCTTTACAACCATGGTAATATGGTAGACATCTCTTGATTGTTTTTCCTATTAACAGCTAGATAGGAGGCGGTGTATGGTGGTGCGGTTTTAGATTAAGTATTTTTGGTGTAGGAGGTTCTTTTCCCTTCTACATCAGCACTGACTGATATTCAGAATGCACTATCTTTCATGACCTATTATTCTTTTCTTTTGTAATTTGAAGAAGTCAGGAGTACAGTTTAGCTTCAATGCTAAGCATTTGTCACTGCTGACAGGATTTGTAAGGACGAAGCATGAACTTGTATCCTTACATTGATTAAAATTTGGAGACATTTCAATTTGTGGTGCTGTGAATTGGGTTTTGAATTCTGTGCTGACAGTCAGTTAGCACTACAGATGTGCAACCTTACTTCACAACAAGGAATGTGATCAGTATTCCAAAGAAATGATAATGGTGTTGACGTTACAGATGACTTATTGTTTGTTTGTTTTTAAATCTATGGTTGTATTTATTTTGCTGCAATTCAGCATCATCCATTTCCCTGATTGTAAATTTCATATTTATCAACTTCTAAGTTTTTTTTTTTTTTTTTTTTTTGAAAATTTTTAGTTACTTCAGTAATGTAATAGTGCTGTGGTATTTTGTAGACTTGCTTATCCCCCCCCCTTTTTTTGCTTGGATTTATCCTTGAGTTCTGTGTATTTTATGTGATTTGACCATAATTAATTATTGTGTTTTCAATTGGTGCTTTCATTGTATGCTTTTACGTAGACTTTAATGGTACGTAATTTATCAAAATTAACAGTGATTCACTGTCTGGTCTTTCAATAGATTCTTTGGTTCAATTTTATTTATTTTGATCAGTGGAGCATTTTCGTTTGCAAATGTTATCAAATCAAAGTACTGTACTGTTTCTAGAGTGGACAAACTCTGCTATTAAAAATTGGTAACTCTCTGTAGTACTTTAACTAGGAATTGACTGTCATGCTGCAAGGCAGGCCTGAACCTGACCTGGGTTTCTTTCCATCTCCTTGCATGTATATTTACAAATTAGCACTCAGAACACAGCACCATACCCCCATAAATTGTTAGTTTGTGATTTCACTTCATGGCAATTGAATTATTATTTTAGTATCTTTGTTGTTGATTGGAACAGCTTATTTTCATGCTTGAATTCTATTTTGTGAATTTAGAGGGGAAGAAAGCTTTGGATCCGCACTGCTATGGGACTGATGGAATTGGTCATTCGTGGCTATTTTGGAATGTATGTTGGAATGCACCAGCGGATAATCCGCACTATTCCTGCACTGCTCTTAAGTCTGTGGTATTTATTTTTTAAGGCATGTATCATGAATGATAGTTTCAAATTTTGTACTGTCCTTTCTTTTAATTTTTTTGAGTTTGTGGAGAACTTAAGACAGGGTCCTCAAAGTTCATGAGGTAACATGACCTTGTACATTTAGAGTTAATTTATTTCATATATGTTTAATTATTCTTTATTTATGTTAATTTCTGTTTCAGTTGTAAAAGTTTATAACATGTGCTTTTACTGACAACTTTTCATTTTTTCCCCTGAATGATGTAAATTTTATCCCAATCATCAAAGCTTTTTCTTTATTATTTGTTATTTAGAAGAAGTGCGATGCTGCTGTGTGAATGTGTGTGGAGCTATTCCAACCTACAGATTAAATTATTAGGCTTTTGCACATGGCATTTTATTAAATTCATTTACCTCTTGCATATACTTCCACAAATTGCTGTACAGGATGGAAACAAAATTACTTCCACAAAATTTTCAAAAACTCAAGAAATGAAATGGATTCAATTTTATTTAGGTATTTAAAATGTTGGAAATTTATCCTCAACTATTCTTCTCTATAAGTAACCTCTCAAACATCTAAAACATAAAAAAGGGATATAAGACCTAAGGATGTCAACCTGACCACAGAGGTGTTACTTGTTTCACTGAACTTACCTCCCAAAGACTAGGAACATAGTTTCGCCTTTTCAACTGCCTGAAGTTTAAGGGGAGCCTTGCACATCTTATACCCTCCAGTCGCGCCTTTTTCAATGCTAATTTTTCTTCACTCCTATTCAATGCACCTATCACATATATATCATCTGGATGATACTCTAATTCTCGACTGACATGTGGTGACACATAAACAATATCCTCCCTAAGAAAAAAAAACAAAAAAACACAGTTTGAGAAACATTTACAAAATATTGAATAGTTTCTGGAATTTGATGATAAATGGAAGTCATAACCATACTTGTGAAATAACTTGAGATATGAACATTCATATATATTAATAGGAAGGAATTCAATACCACCATTTTCATGTTTAAAATGGTGCATCACTTGACTATTCCTTTCAACATTACAAAAATTTAAACCAAATGGTCTACGATTTTTTCTGTTGATATGTACACAGCTATTCAAGTACTTGGCAGTTTCTCTAAGTTGTGCTGAGCTCATGTAGCTATCATATGAGCAGTCAAATACAACTTGCTGTCCAAAAGAAAGACCCTGCGACAGAGTGAAAACCAAAAGTTAAAGAACAAACACATTAGTAATAGCTGATGTTGATGATTTAATTTGCAAGAAGACAAACCTTCCCTAAATTGATATTATAGAAAAGCGACTGACTTCTAGGAATAATTGGTAAAAACATACTATTTCTAACAGGTTCGTCATGAATAGATCCCGTACCTCTGGTTCTTTTCTCTACCCTAGACTTGGGTCTTACGTACAAATTCTTTGTTACATTTGCGTTGGTAAATAACTTTTCACGGCGTCTCTCATACATTTGAAGCTTGCTTTCCACTTCAGTATTGCTCAAATTTAAAAGATCTGTCAATTCCAATACGGTGATTGATTTTGGTAGCGTGTCACCACGTTCATGTTTCAAGTACAGAAACATTAAAAGTTCTTGTAATTTTCTATTTGTCTCTGGGTTCCCTTCAGTAATGAAAAGTTTCTGATCCTCCGTTATTGCATAGGGATATCCACATTTGTTATTATGAACAAGTTTTATACGTTTATCAGATAAAGTATGAGACTTGACAAAGGAAGAAAACATACGGATATTTCTAGTCCACATGATTTGAAAGTGTGAAAAGTAGTCATTCAGCTACTCACACAGTAACCAGAGATACAAACTGGAAGATTGTGTGTAACAAAAGACATTGAGGAAAACCTAACCTTTTACCAAGTGGATTACTTTCTAACAAAATATTTTCGTGGGAAAAAGTCTGTAATCCATGGAAAATGTGTGCAAAAAGTAAATAAATTACAGACACTGGTAAACGTTAACGCTTCAAAGTGAACGGTGAACCTCGTCTAGGGGTGAACGCTTGGGGCAACGAGAAGAGTCCAGCAACCCACAACCCACTTCATTCGAATAAACGCGCAACTTGCTCCTTCCCTCACTTGGTATGAAAAATTTAGCTCCGCATCCGCAGACAAAAGAAATCGAAGAAAGGGTGAGGGCGGTACTTACAAAAACTAGAATGATTTGGAAGTGATGTACTATGTACAATGTTGTGTCATGAAAAGGAAAATGACTTCGCTAACATCATTGTATAAAGAGAAACTCCACAATTCTCTTGAGCACTGCAAAGCTGTCTCGCACGGTGCTGCGACCTCTCGTGGCCATTCACTTCGGGTTGTTGTTGTTGGTTGTTGTTCTTTGTTTGTTATTGTCCAGGAGTGCAGCTTCCGCTCTTCCGCTCCTCTCCTGCCCCTTCTGTCTTGAAAAGGCCTTCTGACGCTGACAATCCTCTGACGTCCTGCTTCGACGTCAATGTACGTCAACCATTGTGCGTTAACTGTTACATACAAGAAAACAGGCCACTACACGATGTTATAGTTTAGTGAGGTTGTCCAATAATTAATTGTCTTAAAATCTCGGGACAGAACATCCTGTCGTCTGTATGTTTACTAATCTGTGTATACTCTACTATGACTTGTCTCTTCTTTTTCCCGGTAGTTGTAGTTGATGATAACGTCAAGGACGATAACTACCGTTTATCAGACAGCCTTTGAGTCAGGTGGCAACTGTTTGAGAAGGTAAGTCATGACATTGTCCCCCGCTCTCATAGATTTTTTCATAGAATAAACTGAATATGCTCTGAAATTGACATGACTAATTTTCTTCCAGATGATTTATTTTCTGTTGCAATGGTACATCATCGTGCCAGCACTTCTTGCCCTCTTCTACTGGCATGGAACTCGAAACTTTTCTCATTGGCGTAAACTTGGTGTTAAGCACATATCTCCCGAGTTTTTCTTCGGAAACATTCGCAAGCGTGTTCTTTTCCGCCAATCTTTTCATGAACTCCAGAAAGAGCTGTACTTTTCCTTCCCTGGGGAACGAGTTGCAGGTGAAAAAGATTTTTAATTTCATAATACAGAATTTTTTTGTAAAATACTGTTCTCAAATCATGTTGATTTTGCAGGAATCTATGAGGGTAGACGTCCAACTCTGATGGTCCGTGATCCTGATTTAATTAAACTCATAATGGTTCGAGACTTTGATCATTTTGTGGACCGTCCTGTTTTGAGATTTCGTCAAAGGCCATCAGTCAACAATATGTTAATAACACTACAAGGAGCTCAGTGGAAAGCTGTGAGAGCCATTCTTACACCCACCTTTACCTCTGGAAAAATTAAAAGTATGTCTTTGCTTGTCATGGATGTGGGCAAGCAAATGGTTTCATTTCTTGAAAACGTTATTGACAAACCAGGTCTGTATCTGTATTGGCCACTAATAATTCAATGAC